CTTTATCACCTATTCAGGTTGTAAATTGTGTTTTTAAAAAGTAACTAAGTAAACAAGTAATTAATTACTTTTGAAAATAAGTAATCAGTAATCAGTTACTGATTACTTTTTTCAAGTAACTTGACCAACACTGCTGATTTATTTGCTTCTAAAGGTTTCTGCATGATGTAGCTTTACTTATATATTCCCCTAATGTTAACTACAAAAAGTCAACACTGCATCTCTCTGTGCTAACTGCTGCATGATCACATATGTTGTCAGAAAGACGTCAGTTAAAATTTTCCCGAGTTGTGACTTTTCCTGAGATTTTAGTGAAACACATTCCTTCATTTCACTGAGAGACAGCGATCCACCCGAGTTACATTTCAGTGCAGTATGGAAGTTTATTGTGATGCAGCTATGGAGACACCACACCAGCGTGTAAAAACATGTCTTCTGCAATCATGGACCTATTACTGTAATGAATGACAGTAACTACAGTACAGTAGTCTCATGATTTTATAACCATTGCAGCTTTAGTGAAGGTGCTGCAGACACATCCGGTTAGAGCTGCTGTGAAATCTGACGCTGAACCTATAAATGAAACCACATTGAAGGTTTCTATTGTAGGAGCCCCAGTAACCTCTTGCTTATATTAAGAATAATTCCAGTGGACACGCTTTTTAAAAACTTAGCATGTTTCGTATTCTCTGCGACCGACACTGAAAAAGCTGTGCAGTAAACTGACTTTTGACGATCTCAGAGTAACAGGAGCCACTAACGTTGCTCCTGGAGCATGTGCTGAGCTCAGGAGCTCCAAACACAGGTGTCCTGTGTGCGCAAAGGGTTGGGACATCGAGCTAACAAGGCTGTGAAAGAAAAGCTCAGATCAGAAGTATCGATTTCACACAGCGCGAGTCCTGGCCTGCGGCCCTGCTTACAAACGCAAGCTGTTTTCAAGTCCTAATCCAGGGTTTACGCAAGGCCAGCTCCTCATGCTGCTATCTGATGTGATGTCGCTGTCATATCATTATTTTGTGAATGTCTAAATATACAAACAGCACCATCTCCTGTGCACTCGCGCTATTTCTGACTCACAATGCACTCGATCTACAGGTCTGCTGACAGGGACAAATTTACACGTCAAGTCCACCCCGTGCATCTCGCTCTCTCTCTGAGACGCTACCTGTCGTCTGATTCTCAGATTCTTCAAATCGTGGCAAAGAGTCTGCAGATAGCACTGCAAGGCTGGCAAACAGGTGGCTAAAT